GTGCACGGTGCAGGGGCTGCAGCGGAGAGGGTGAGGGGAGGTGCACGCTGCAGGGGCTGCAGCGAAGAAGAGGGAAGCGGTGCATGGTGTAGTAGAGAGGAGCGGTGAATCTCGCAAAGATTGCTGCATTGGGGCCGTGCATCTTACAGAGCTACAACAGCGGGCTGGCGCATCGTGCAGTATGCAGAGCACCGTGCTCCTCTTGTTCCTGTCCCTGGCCCCTTTTGCTCGCTGCATCCCCCCTTTGCCCAGGGAACTACCCCAGGAAGATGCGACAGGCAGCTTGCACCAAACGAGTCTCAGGGAGATGTTTGAGGAGGTGGAAGAGCTGATGGAGGACACACAACAAAAGCTACAAGGAGCCGCTCGGGAGGTAAACGATTTTCATTTTGAACGCTCCTCTGAGTTAATGCAACTCACGAAATGTACCGCTTCCCAATCCCAAATGGCTATGTTTTCTGTCGAGGACGTGTATCTTTTGTAGTTTCTGAATTCTATTGCATTGCAGCTGTCAGACCAATTACTCATCCATCCCTGTAGTGAGGTACATGAGAGTTATTATTGTAACTAAGTTACGTTGTAAAGTTCAATCTCCCGACGTTTTACACAAGATAGTGTAACTTGTATAAGGAAGTTGTTGGATCTATCTTCAGGTTATTCATCGCTCTGCAGTTAGTAACCATTGATATAAGACTAACGTAATAAGTAAAAAATTGTTGCAAGGAAACCATTGCAGTTTAAAGTGGAGAAATCAGACCCTGCCCGTTGCACATTCTGCTCAATAACATTGATATTTTTTGCTTTCTTCTACACGAGGCTGTTTGTTTTTGGATAATGGATTGTAGGAGAGAAGAGAATTACGGCGCAGTTTTAGAAAGTGGTCGGACTTACTCTCAAGTTCCAAAGTTTTGCTTCGTTTTCATGTTTTTAGTATTTTTCCCCTAATACCATTCACAGTGAGTCAATGAACGTGGAACTGGAAAAGCACAGCAGGTCAGACAGCATCCGAGGTACAGGGAAGTCCTTGCTCCTCGATGCTGTCTGCCCTGCTGTGCTATTGCAGCTCCTCATTTATTGACTCTAGCTTCCAGCATCTGCAGTCCTTGTCTCCAAACCATCCAGTGATGTTTCAAAAAAATCCTCGAAAGTGTTTTCCTGTCAAACAAGTTTGGTTATTCATGGAGTCCATTGGACTCTCCCAATGAAGTAAAGTTGTAAATGCTTTAGTTGTAATCGTTGATTTGGGATTTTTTGATGTGTTTTTCCTGGAAATGCAGTTGGCTGTCTTTTAAAAAAAAATTCTGAGATAATGAACAACCTGGATGATCTGCAATGGGTCTTACTTGACCAGTTTTTCAAACTTTAAACTTCTCTGATCTTCCTCCTACTCAAATCTCTCATGGTCATACTCCATCCCTATCTCTAATCTCCTGCAACTCCTCAAAACTAAAACAAATGGAAAATGCTGGAGAAATTCAGCAGGCTGGGCAGCATCTGTGGAGGGAGAAATGTTAGGGAGTTAATAGCTTGAATCCAGTTTGATTCTTCAGAACTGGACAAGACTCATATCAGACTTGAAACATTAACTCTATTTCTTTGTCCACACATGCTGCCAGACCTGCTGAGTTTCTCCAGCACTTTTAAAAAAATTACTTTTATTCATTTCACAGGATGAAGGAAAGATCACCATTTATTGTCCGATCCTAGTGGTCCTTGAGAAGGTGGTGGTGAGCTCCCTTCTTGAACTACTGCAGTAAATAGTTGGGGGAGGGGAGGTAGGTAGGTAAGCCCAAAAGGCTGTTAGGAAGGGAGTTCCAGAATTTTGACCCCTGCGACAGTGAAGGAGCTGTAGAGGTTCCAGCTTCGGAAGGTGCCATTGAAGGAGCTTTGGTGAGTTGTTGTAGTGCGTCTTGTAATGGTGCACGTTGCTGCCACAATTTGTTGGTGGTGGAGGAAGTGAAAATTGAGGATTTTTTCACGGCATGCCAGTCGAGTGGGCTGCTTTGTTCTGGATGGTGTCAAGTTTCTTGAATGTTGTTGGAGCTGCACTCATCCAGGCAAATGGGGACTATTCCATCACACTCCTGACTTCAGACTTGTAGATGGTGGACAGGCTTGTGGGGAGACAGGAGGTTGGTCACTCACCGTAGAACTCCTAGCCTCTCCCCATAAGATCTAGGAATGGAATTGGGCCATTGAGTCTGCTCTGCCATTCAATCATGGCTAATATGTTTCTCAACTCCATTCTCCTGCCTTCTTCTTGTAACCCTTGATCCTCTTACAGTCATATTTACACGGCTGGAACAGTTCAACTCTGGTCAACGGATAACACTTGTAGATTCCAGAGATTTTAGACTTGTAGATTTTAAACTGATAGTTTAATACCAAGTCACTCTAGGGGATGTTAAGTGGTAGACTTTTCAGGTGGTAACTGTAAAGATGGGCGATGTTTAACAAGGAAATTCCAGAGCCTGTGGCCCGAACGACTGAAGGCACAAGTGATGGGAGATGGAATTGGGTGCCCAAGAAAGCAGACTTTGAAGGGCAGAGATATCGTTGGTGGGGGGTGGGTTGTTTCTTGCCCTGGAGTGCTTGCAATGTGTGCACCTGTTTCCAGATTACAATTTTTGTTCTTTTTAGCAAAAAAACTGATCTTTTGTCTAACCTTTGAACTTTAATCAGTTCTATTCATTGCTAAAGAGGAGTCTGCCTGCCTATGGTAAGTAGTAGTTGTTAATCCTGATCATAATTTTAATGAGAGACTGAAAACACACCTTGGGGGTAATTTATTCAGATACTGCTTACTGCCTTTTGGAATGATTTTTCTCTTTTAATGCAAAGTAGTTTCAATTTAGACACTGTAAGTGTGATGTTGGGAGGCAATGGCAAAGTGGTATTATCACTCGAATACCGAAACACAAGTAATAGTCAGGGGACCCAGGCTCAAATCCTGCCATGAATTCAATTAAAAGCAAAATTAAGGTGGTCAATTAGCTCAGTTGGCTGGATGGCTGGTTTGTAATGTAGAGTGGTGCCAACAATATGGGTTCAATTCCCACACTGTTGGGGTTAGCGTGAGGGACTCTCCACAACCTCTCCCCTTAACTGAGGGATGGTGACCCTCCGGTTAAACCACCACCAGTTATCTCTCTGTGATGAGAGAGCAGCTTGATAGTCTGTGTCCTTTTGCAAGCTAAACCAGGTCCAACAAAGGGTCCCATTCTTTTCCCTGATTATGTTGTTCATTTGAAGTTGAAAATGGAAGGTTCTTAGATTACAAGTGTGCAAAACATGGAGAAATGAGCCGAAGACATGCCTTGAGACACTTCATTACTACAGTATGATAGAACCATATGTGCCAAAGAAATTAGTGCCCAAATGGTGTAGAGAACAGTTCTATCCTATAGTGCAGGTAGACAAATCAGTAAGGGTTATGAGACCATTTAAGAAAAAGCAAAGCCCCAGAGTTCGTTTTCTAGGGAATAGAATTATAAAGCAGGGAAGCTGAATTAAACTTGTATCTAGCCTTGGTTTGATCTCTTGTGGAGTCCTAAGCATGGTTCAGTTGTCAATTGCCAAAAAAAATAGAGAAGCACTGGAGAAGGTGCAAAAAAGATTTATAAGGCTGATTCCAGGATTAAGAGATGTCAGGAAAGATTGAACAGCCTTGGCGGTCCTTTTCTATAGTGTAGAGAATCACCTGGTTGGTGACCTGATCGAAACCTTTAACATAGGGATAGAGGAGATCTCTCCCACTATCTGGGAGACCAGAACTAAAAATCAGACATATAAAATAGGCACTAATTAATTCAATAGAGAATTGAGGAGAAACTTATTTTTTCTTCCAGAGAGTGTTTATAATTTGGGACTCACTACCACAGCATGTAGTTGAATTGAATACGATAGTCCTAAAGAGGAAGCTGGATGAATGCATGAGGGAGAAAGGAGTGGAAAGGAATGTTGATAATTTGAGGTGAAGTTGAGTGTAAGAGACTCATGGGGAGTATAAAAAACATTGGTCCCTAAGGCCTGTTTCTGTGCTGTAATTACTATCTAAAGATAGTCAGCTTTAAGCGTTGATTTTAAAATTGGTTAACTCACCAAATATAAGGTGGAAAATGTATACTCCAACTGGAGGTGTTAAAAAGTTAACCTAAATCAGTTGCGCCAGACAGGAATGTTAATGTGTACAAAGAGACATCTTTTCAACAGAGGGTTTCCTGAAACTCCAGGCAGTAAGCCAAAAAGTCCTGGAAGAAATTTCATACCACAGGGAATCAGAGCGTGTAAACTCAATTCACTTTGTATAATCAAGTCATTCCACGTAGAGAAGGTGATCATAATACAAAAAAAATACAAGTTTGCACTTCTGCAGCACCATTCACAATCACAGTGGGTGTCCGAAGCACTTCATCACCACTGAAGTTTAGTAACTACACTGTTTCCTTCATTTCAACAGTTAATTTGCTCAACAAGGTGCCATGTAGTTCCCCGCTTAAAGGGATTATGAAAGGAAACTTGCCAGGGATATCAAAATCAGTAAGAAAAAAATTTATAGTTACATAAAAGGAAGCCAGGTGGTTAGGAGGAATTTTGGGGACTGAAAGTGGGGATATTGTCAATGATAGTGGGGAAATGGCAGACACATTGAATAATTACTTTGCCTCAGTATTTACAGCAGAAAAGTAGAATAGCTTGGTGGCAGTCCTGAGAAATTAATAGTGGATTGGGAACAAGGACTGAATGAAATTAATGTAAGTAAACATCGGTAATGAGAAATTTGATGGAATTAAAGAATAACAAATCCCCAGAACCTTACAGTTTCCATCCGAGGGTGTGAAGGGAAATAGGGGAGGACATTGTAGATGCCCTAGCTACAGTTTGAGATCCCCCAACTACAAGAGTTGTCCCTCTGAATTGGAAAATTGCACTCTGCTTTTTAAGAAGAGTGAAAGAGGAAAACCAGGAAATGAGAGACCAGTCAGACTAACATCTGTGTCGGGGAAGTTGTTGGAGTCTAAGATCAAGGATGATGTAACTGAACACCCTGAAAATTTTCGGTTAATCACGGTGAACCAGTATGGATTCCTGACAGGTAGGTCATACCTGACAAATCTCAAGATTTTTTTTCTGAAGAGGTGATTAAGGTAGTGGATAGGGGACTGTTTATGTATGTTGGTTACGTAGACTTCCAGAAGACATTTGATGAAGTCCCACATAACAGACTGTTAATTGAGGTAGAAGCCCATGGAATTGAAGACACATTACTGACTTGGCTGGGAAATTGGTTGCGTGGTACGTGACAAAATGTAGGGTTAATGGGTAGCTAAACAAATTGGCAGGATGTGACCTGTCCTGTCCTGTAAGGATCTG